TCTTCTTCTTCTTCTTCTTCTTCTTCTTCTTCTTCTTCTTCTTCTCCTTCTCCTTCTCCTTCTCCTCCTCTTCCTCCTCCTCCTTTTTTCTCCTCCTCCTCCTCCTCCTCCTCCTCCTCCTCCTCCTCCTCCTTCTCTTCTTCTTTCTCCCCCTCCCCCTCCCCTTCCTCTTGTCTCTTCCTCCTCCTCCTCCTCTCCTCCTTCTCCTCCTCCTCCTCCTCTCCTCCTCCCCCCTCCTTCTCCTCTTTCTAAATGCATAGATGCCCGTCCTCCAGTTATTCCTCAACATATCTTTCCATTTTCCTATTCTCCCCTCCCGGGGATCCAGCGGCCTGGATTCTGGTCAGCCCATCCCCCGTGGTGCTGGAAGGGGAGCAGGTCAGCCTCACCTGTGACGTGATGGGAAGCCTCCCAGAGGATGCCAGCTTCTCCTGGTACTGGAACAGCAAGCACCTCCAAGGGCTCACCGACGGCACCCTCACCTTCCAGGCCGTAAGCCCCCAGGACGCCGGAGCCTATTACTGCAAAGCCCAGACCGCTGATGGGAACAGCCTCAGCATCTCCCCGTCCGTCAGTCTAACCGTGTTTTGTAAGTTCCCGAAAGCTGGTTTGTCTCCATATCCATCTTAAATGACAGGCTGGGAAAAGTCTGGATTCCAAACTGGGGGCGTGGGGACAATTAACCAGTGGAAGGGCTTCCCTTGAGAGGCCATAGGTGCTTCATCGCTGGAAGATTTTAAGAAGAGACTGGATAGCTGTTTGCGTGGAATGGTAGAGGGTCTCCTGCTGGAGCAGGGGGTCAGACTAGAAGACCTCTAAGGCCCCTTCTAGCTTGGGTGTTCTAAGTGTAGCTTTCCTTTTCAAAACAAAAAAAGTGGGGGGCATTCAATCTATTCTCCAAAGAAAATTTTGGTGGTCCGCAGAGAAATGTCTCCCCCAAAAACAATTAATTCAGCCGTTAATGGTTGGGAAAGTTGATTCTAGATAAACTGAAGTGCACTTTTGCATGCTTTTAGCTCTGCTTTTCCACTGAATCCTCCTTAGAGCACCCCCTTGTGAAATATGAAGTCAAAATAAGGAAGGTGGGAGGTCTTCCTCCATCCCAGCATGCCTTTCTCTCGCCCCCCCCCCCTTACACACACAAATGGGCCCCTCCCAGTTAAACCCGTGGAAAACTGATTCCTGGTTGTGCCTTCTACGGCCAGCAGGTGGTGCTATTGGCTTATTTACCATCCCTGCTGAATACAGAATAACAGAGCTGGAAGGGGCTTTGAAGGTCACCTATCTAATCCAGGGGGTCTCCAAACTTGGCAACTTTAAGACTTGTGGACTTCAACTCCCAGAATTCTCCAGCCGGCAGCTTCAGAGTTGAAGTCCACAAGTCTTAAAGTTGCCAAGTTTGGAGACCCCTGATTATAGTCCAATCCCATTGGAGACCTTATACCAGGGTGGTCTCCAAACTTGGCAAGTTTGTGGACTTCAACTCCCAGAATCCCCCAGCCAGCATGGCTGCCATAGTATGGGGCCCCAGGAAAAACCATCCCAGGTTTTAAGAGTGTAGTGTGAGGTCCCTGGTGCTCTCTGAGCACAGATTTGATATAGACTATTGCTAAATATTATTACAATTATTTTACATTGGATTTATGTCATATTTTCATATATTTATGTAGCTATTGACATATTTATACATAAGTATATATAGTTTAGGCATAACTATATATACTTATGTATAAATACGTCAATAGCTACATAAATATATACCAATATATTGGTATATATACCATAAATATATACCTATTCATACCAAATTATGTCATCACACCATCACACCATCACATTATGTCATCACTTTCATTTCCTCTGTCTATTTTGTGTCTACTTTGCAGCCAATTATACTATAAATTCCACAGTTCGTAGAAAAAAAGGTGATTTTTTTTTCAAGAGGCAACTGGACTTTCTGGTTTTTCTTTGAAGGAATTTCACTTCTCATCCCAGAAGCTTCAAGAAAAACCAGAAAGTCCCGTTGCCTCTTGAAAAAAAAGCAGATTCTAACAGATAATCAGAGTTGGAAGGGACCTTGTGGGTCATCTAGTCCAACCCAAGCAGGAGACCCTACACCATTTCTGACAAATGGCAGTCCAATCACTTCTTGAAAGTCTCAAGTGATGAAGCTCCCACAACTTCCGAGGGAAACTTCTATTCCATCTGTTGATTGTTCTCACTGTCAGAAAGTTTCTCCTTATTAGCACCTGATTATATCTGAAATATATACGAAAGAAAAGCTATATTTCATCATTCATGTATTGACTGCAGCTAGAATTATAGTTTCACAAAATTGGAAAAGTGAAAAGATTCCGACAGATGAGAACGGGATCAAGAAAATATGAGAATGTGCAGAAATGAACAGGTTAACCCTTGCAATTAAAGAAAAGGAACAAACTGAATATTATATGGTATGGGAATTATTTTACCAACAGCTGCAGAATAAAAATGGAAATTAGAAAATCTAAGAAGATCTGTGAAAAATAGTAAACATGTGAATAAGAATCAAATACGCTAAGAATTGTTCTTATAATTGGATACATTATGTGTAGCAGTATGAAGTAAGAATAGAGTAATGGTATAATAGTAATGAATGGGTATTAATTGTAATGGTTATTGCACAAGATATTTGTACCCAGATGATACACCATTTAAACGAAAGGTGGAATGTTTGTATAAAATAAAATAAAAAATTGGGGAGGAAAAACGAAAAAAAAAAACACCTTTGGGAGGACGTAGTTCCTTCTTTTGCCCTTTATAAAGATCGAGTCTTTGGTGATTTCTGCGCTGGCTTGTTGTCTTGCAGGTCAGAGGTGATATTCAGCCGGTTCTGACCAGTTCTGGAGAACCGGAAGTGGAAAATTTGAGTAGTTTGAAGAACCGGCAAACACCACCTCTGACTGGGCCCGCCACCATCTCTTCTCTGCCTCCTATTGAGTCCCAGCTGATCGGCTGGCTCTTCTTTGGTTGCCCTGCCCAGGAGAACGGAGCTGGAAAGCAGGGTTAGTGGGGTGGGGAAGGAATGGGGACTTTCCCTTGCCACGCCCACCAAGCCATGCCCACAGAACCGGTAGTAAAAAAAAAAAAGTGGAATCCCACCACGGTTGCAGATGCTTCGCATGACAACTAGCCAGCTCAAAGAGCCCCAAGGACCCTTCCGTCTTTGCAAAGGGCAAGAGGAGATACCGCATCCTTCCATTTATGGAGAACTTTGGCCGAAGGCCTTTTTGATCTGGAGATGTTCCACCTGATAGGGAACCTCCAACTTCTGGATTCCATGCACACACACCCGGCTATTGCAATCTGTTTGGTTTTTTTTTCCCCACAGACCCCCCTCGGAAGCCCCATGTCACAGCTTTCCTCGAGACACCAAGCAGCCGAGTCGCCGTCCTTCACTGCACGGTGGAGAGCAATCCCCAAGCCCAGCTGTCCCTACGCAAAGGCCAGGAGCTCTTGGCCACCAGCACGGACTCCAGTCTTGGCCACCCGCAGCGAGTCAAGATTTCCCCCACGTACAACAGCCTGAGAGTGGAGATTTGGGACGTGGTGATGGAAGACGAAGGGGAATACGCCTGTTTGGCCAGCAACCGATACGGCAACGAGAGTGCCCAGATCACCTTCAGAGCGGAGGGTGAGTAGGAAGGAGGGATGCCCTGGTTATCGGCAGCTTCGGGTAAAGGACCGTGCAAGAGATCGGGAGACCCCCAAAAAAGTCTTGTGCCCAGAAATCGCATCCTGGCATGGGGTAGTCAGGGAGGTTTGTGGAGAAGTGCCTTTTGGCTATGTCGCCAAGCAGCCTGGGCTCCGATGCCAGCTGAATTTGAGAAGGTATTCTCAGTGCGAGGCTTCAATTTGACATCAAAAGTATGATGATTTCTTCAGATGTTTCATGACCCAACTAGGTAACATCATCAGGGTTAGAAGGGAAAGGAGGAGGAGGAGGAAGAGGAGGAGGAGAAGGAGAAGGAGAAGGAGGGAAAGGATTGTGGAGTTTTCTATGCTCTCTGAGTTTGGTTGGTTGTTTCCTTGAAGAGATCTCATTACCCAACCAGGTAACATCAGCAGTGCTAGAAGGGAGTGGGGTATGTGGAAAGGAGGAGGAGGAGGAGGAGGAGGAGGAGGAGGAGGAGAACTGTGGAGTCCTTGGTGCTCTCTGTTTGGTTGCTTCCTTGAAGACATCTCATTACCTAACTAGGTAACATCAGCAGTGCTAGAAGGGAGTGGGGTATGTGGAAAGGAAGAGGAGGAGGAGGAAGAGGAGGAGGAGGAGTATGAGGGCCTGGGTACTCTTTGAGCGTGGTTGTTTTCTTGCAGATGTTTCATGACCCAACTAAGTACCATTATCAGTGCTAGAAGGGAGTGGGGTTAACCACTTATACAGAGAGGGCAAACCCACTCCTTGTAGCACTGATGTTACCAAGGAAGCAATCAACCTCAGAGACCATCAAGAACCAAATGGTCCTTCTCCTCTTCCTCTTCCTCCTCCCTGCCACCACCTGTGAGAAGGTGGAGTTTCTTTCGGTTTCTCTATACCCCAAAGCAGTGGCCCCCAACCTTTTTCGAACCAGGGACCGGTTTCACAATTATTTATTCTTCCACGGACCGGTACCTGAGTAACGTGAGACTCCACTGCCACCCCACCCCGCTTCGACGAAACTAAGGCACGAGCACCCAAACGCCACTTTCCAACTGAAAAACCGGAAGCACTTTCCAACCAAAACCCCGGAAGTAACCGAAAACCTGAAAGCGCTGTCGAAACAAGATGGTGGCACCCAAGCTTTGCGGCCTGGTAAAAAATGATCCACGGACCGGTACCAGTCCGGGGACCGGTGGTTGGGGACCCCTGTCCCAAAGGACAAAAACTTTTCAGCCATGGAGAACAAACGCCTAAAATGAAAGTGACACCCTAGTATTGACATATAAGCTGCTCAGACTCATTTCGATAGTGAGATGGGAGGCATATAAATGTAATAGATAAAATGCATGTAATAAAATAACAGTAGAATAGAACAGGAATGAGTAGAATAGAATAGAATAGAATAGAATAGAATAGAATAGAATAGAATAGAATAGAATAGAAGTAGGAGTAGGAGTAGGAGTAGGAGTAGGAATAGAATAGAATAGAATAGAATAGAATAGAATAGAATAGAATAGA